AACAACAACAACGACAACAACAACTGCGACGGCAGCTCAAAGCTCAAAGGCACAAATTTTGTATATTTTTTGTTTCTCTAGCTAATACATAATTACAAATACATTTAAGCCAGCAAAGTTTTTTAATTGTTTTTGTTGCTGTTGCCGTAAAAAAGCTAAAAAGCCCGAAAAGGGAAATGGAAAATGCGAAACGATTGCGCTCAAATTAGTTAAATGTGGGACCGAGCGGGCAAAGGGGCCAACTTGCAGGCTGACATTTTGTTTTGATTGACATCTGCGAGATTGTGGAAATGTAGTGTATGCCAAAGGAAAATCAGAGAGGAGGCGGGGCTGGCGGCATTTTACAGCTTGTGATGGGCAGGTGCTGTCAGTTGGGTAAATTCTTGAATGGATACAAGTTGCCACAGCGCGCGGCAAGTTCAGCGCTCGTTGGCGTCGCATGCAAATGCCGTGAATGCGCAGTGGGACTTTGGGTGCAGGTGACGGAGGAGGGGCGCGGGGGTTGCGTAGCGAAGGGTATATAAATATAAATGATTCTATATAACACCTACGCGATGCTGCCATGAGTCAAACGTCAATGTTGGACTGCTTGCTTCAGCTAAGCTTTGATAGGTGAAACATCAAAAGGCATGTATATATATTTTTAAAAAAAAAATAAAAATAAATATATATTACAAATATTGCCAGAGCTCTAGAACATGTTTTGTGTTAATGTTCTGCTCTTGAGGATAAGATCTCTTAATGTTGGAATCTTATGTGCATCAAAAGTGCTCAGCCCCATGGAAAAACTACAAATACAAAGGGCTTACATTTATAGTAGAATTTATTACAATTACAATAAGCAAAAAAATAATAACAATTATAAGAGTACTATTATTGATAATAAAAAAGGTTTATAAAACTAATAATACCAAGATTTAAAATAATAAATATGGAAATAATACAATAATAACAATAATAATTGTAATAATAATAATAATCATAATAATAATAATATTAATAATAATAATAATAATAATAATAATAATAATAATAATAATAGTAATAGTAATAGTAATAATAATATTAATAATAATAATAATAATAATAATAATAATAATAATAATAATAATAATAATTATAATAATAATTATAATAATAATAATAAAAATAATAATAACAATAATAATAATAATAATTATTATAATACTTATAGTAATCATAATAGTAATAGTTATAGTAATAGTAATAGTAATAATAATAACAATAATTAATTAATTAATAATAATAAAAAAATATAATAATATCAGCTCTATACCATATATATAAGTATATACATACGGTAACACTTTTTTTATTTATGGGGAATACTAAACAATATAAAAAAAATAAAGATTTAAAAAAATCGCAACAGTAATCGCATTTTTTTTTATCAAGTACAAAATGTGTTGTAGTGGTGCTATTATTTTGTTTGCAACTGTATGTATATATATATATACTATATTTACAGAATCGATCTTGATTAAAATTATAACTCTGGAATTATATAAGAAAAAGAGTTGAATCGTATTTGAAACATGAGCAAATACTTTTGAAATGATATTGAGAACTGAAAACTAAAGAAATACAGCCTAAATTCTCATCGATTCGACTGAGTCCCTTTATCATTAGACAACTTGCAGATATGCTTGCTATTCCGTTTCCGTCTTTAGAAACTCTTGCAGTTAGATTCAACTTTTTCATGTCGTTTCAAAAGCACATTAATGCCAAAATTAATTTCGTTTCCTGCTTTGCTATCTAAAGTATATTTGAAGGAGGCGCATTTGGCTGGCTTTAAGGTTGGCAATTAAGTGTAAAGGAAGGCAAACTGTAGCCGCCTAAAGACCGCATACGACATTTGGCACGCACTTTATTAGGAAACCGAAACGCAGCACAGAAGGGGGAGACAGGCGCAAACCTCAAAAGCCAGAACTTTTCCCAGGAAAATGCCAGCGCGTTGCTTTCACTTTAAACTAACGCACACACACACACACACGCACAACTCATTGCTATGCATCGCAGACACCCGAGACCCGCTGCGACCCACATAAGCAAGCAAATAGAAAAAAAAAGGAGAGGAAAAGCGAATCAGCAGGAAAAAGCCAAAAGGCAATGAAAATTTTCCTTGTGCACTGCGAAAACTACGCAATTTAGAAAAGCAGCCAGCGACAACAACAGCCAGCGGGCTGGCTATATACCCTAGCATATACGCACACGCACCACCCCAACAACAACAACAGCAATCAACGTCACTCACAAAGCCGCTCCTGCCCCGCCTGCGCCGCAAGAACCCAACATCCCCCCGCCGCCAGCAACCCAACGCTCGCTGCACACGCACAAAAAGCGCCAAAAAATTACAAACGCAGCGGTCGGTCGTTTGAGCGGCTTCTGTCGCTGAAGCCAAAGTGGTTTCTGGGTGGTTTTTGGCTCAATAAAGGACTGCACCCGCCGCCGCAGCAGCAGCAGCAGCAGAGGCCAGCCCCGCCAAGCCGCCCAACTACCCCCAGCGCGGCATATATAACCCGCACGCACATATAGGCGCACACGCACATCTGCTATGTACTGCGAGGCAGCTGCAGCCACCCAACGACGCCCCACCGACCAAACCCATGTCAAAGTCAAGCCACCACCAAAAAAAAAAAAAAAGAGCCAAGAGAAGAAGCAGAAGTAAATGAAAATGTACGCCCTGCATTTTTTTTTATTCAGTCGTTGCGAGGCCCGAGCAGTCGCCCATTTCGGGTTTCTTGAACGTCCTTGATCCTTGCAACGCACAGCAACAACAATGAAAGGGCGCCTGCTGGTCGTCTTCCCAAAACACAAAAACACACACCAACACACACACACACACACAAAGAGCAGAGCATTGCGGGCGCATGTAAAAAGCATAGCATACTTTTTGGGGCAGCCGCCCCGACGCAACGCCGCCTGCCTGACGCCTTATCAGTTGTAAAAACAAAACCGGAAGCTCACACACACAGACAGGAAGTCGCAGCGTGTGCGACAGAGTGAGTGAGCGCTAGAGTGGGACAGCGCGCGCGAGAGAGAGAGACAGAGAGAGAGGGAGAGAGCGAGAATGAGCGCGACGCGTCGTCGAACTTTCAGGGTTTTTGTGTGTGTGAAAAGTGAAAGTGAAATGCTGTCAAGGCAAAGGACAAGGCAAAGAAAGTGAAAGCGCAGCGAGCACGCAAACGCAGAGAGCGCCACACAAGAGAGCAAGCCGCTCTCACAGAGCGAGTAGAGAGAGAGAGAGAGAGAGAGCGAGCGTGCCAGAGCGAGAGCGAGCGAGCCTGCAAGTGAGTGTGAGCGAGCGCGAGTCGCTGTGTCCTTTGCTGCAGTCGCGCGTCTCAAGAAAGCCGCTTCGAATAGCTTGAATGCCTCCATTTTAATGGCCGCAATGTCCTTGGCCAAGCAACGTGCCGAAGGATATTTGGTAAACGCACGACGTCAGCGGCAACGTCGACTGCGACAGCGACTGCGACTGCGACGCGTCAGCTTCGTTTCACGGCGCTTGCATTTACTTTCACTTTCGGCCTGGCCGCGAACTTGGCAAACAACCCCAGCACTCAGACCACGGCACGCACACACCCGCACACCCGCACACACACCCTGGCAACTGCCCCAGCCCGCGCCCCCCCTTTTTGCACGCTTGCATATAATGTACTTTTTTTCGGCAGGCAAACCAAACTTTTACCCCAAGAGCTTTCTGCATTTGTTTTCTTTTTCTTTTTTTTTTACCAGCTTTGGCGCAAGTTTATTTTTGACAGTGTTTTATGCCCTGCGGACAGGACACTGCAGCAGGACACAGCAGCAGCAGCGGCAATTGCTAGGGGTTGGGGTCGGGGGGGTTGGGCTGTGCTGTTGTGCTTGTGCGTGGGGCCCGAAATGACAAAATAATGTAATTTGGCATTAGATTTATGCGTGCTGCGCCTCCTTTGGTGCGTGTCCTGCAACAAGGACCTCAGCAAAAAACGCAGCGTCGACGTTTCCTTTTGCCTTTCACACATTTTCAACCTCTGCTGCTGTTGCTGCTGCTTCCGCCTGACACCCTCCCTCCCTCGCGTTCCACCTGCGCCTTATGCTTGTTGTTGTTGTTGTTCTTCCTCTTATTTGCCACGCTTTGTGTCCTGTTTTTTGCTTGGCAGCGCCTTTGTTGTTGTTTTAAGCCGCTTGTGCGAATTTAGGGCAGGTTTCATTGACGCTTTTTTCACCAGCTTCTTCTTCTTCTTCTATTTGCTTGTTTTTATTTTATTTTTCTTAGCTTTTGGCTAAGTTTCTTTCCTTTCAATATATACATATATATATATGTTATAGCTGTTAAAAAAATAAAAACTTTCGAATTTCTAGCTTGAATGTTGCCACAAATTGAAAAATGTCAACAAAGTTTAAAGTGCGAGTTGGGGAATGTGGACCTATTTCTCGCCATCGAATTTTCATTTCAAGTTACAATATGATTGCAGAAAGATTGAGCATAATATTAATAGATAATAAATAAATGAATATTAAATTAAGTTCCACTTGGCTAAATTATAAAAAAAAAACAATAATAATAATATTAATAGATAATAAACAAATAAAAATATTAAATGAAGTTCTACTTGCTTAAGCATAAAAAACTATAATAATAAAAAATAAATAAATACATATTTATGAAATGGGGTTCTACTTAGATATAGTATGAAAATTTTTGATTAATAATAAATACTTTATGGGGTCAGATATGTCTCCTAATACATTATCACAAAATTCTTGAGTATATTTCAACCAGTTTTGATGGGCGTAGTGTGTTTTATGGCCGCGATCAGGTGTTTAAATCTGACAACTATTTCACGAATAGTTCACAAGCATTTCACAGTCATAGCTCGAGAGCTATGGAGACTATAAGGCAACAATTTGATGTGAGTTTGAGGCTTTCTTTCCCAGCAACCTATGTGCAAATAGTCATAAACTGTTGACATTAGGTAGGAGACATTCGTACTTGTAGGAGAAAATTATTAGACTTTGCATAGGAAGGTTTTTTTTTCGTATTAGATTTCTTTTTTTGCTAATTAAAGATGAGCAAAGTTTCCAAATCGTGGAGCCTGAAGGTGGCGGCATTCGTTGCCGTTTCGAGTCTTTTCACGCTCTTTGTGCTGGTGGCTGCCCATTCGATTGATTTCTACTCGCCGGCAGATGGCGTTGTGGAGCTGACTGGCTCGGACTTTGAGAGCATGGTGCTGCAGGACGACGCCATTTGGATTGTACAATTCTATGCGCCCTGGTGCAGCCACTGCCAAGCCATGCTGCCCGAATACAAGCGGCTGGCCAAGGCGCTGAGGGGCGTCATCAAGCTGGGCGCGGTCAACAGCGAGCGGCACACGGAGCTGACCGCCAAATATGAAATACGCGGCTTTCCGCTTATCAAAATTTTCGGTGCTGACAAACAGAAGCCCACCGATTTCTTTGGACCGCGCACAGCCCAGGCCATGGCCGAGCTGGCTGTGGCCGAGGTCAAGAAGAAGGTAAAGGCGGCCTTTGGCGAGAGGCTGGACGTGGCCACAGACGCGGCCCGCAACAGCGTTTGCTCGGCGAGCGAAGTCACGGAGCTGCGGGCGGATAATTTTGATAGGCTGGTGCTCAACTCGGCTGACATTTGGCTGGTGGAGTTCTATACGCCCTGGTGTCCGCACTGCAAGAATCTGGCGGCCACCTGGATCGAGGCGGCCAGGGAGCTCAAGGGCAAGATCAAGCTGGGCGCCCTGGACGCCAGCGCCAACAAGCACAAGGCGGCCGAGCACAATGTGCGCAGTTATCCGACCATCAAATACTTTCCGGCCCAGTCGAAGCAGCCCGCCGACGCAGTCGTATACACGGGCCAGCGCACTGCGGCGGCCATCGTCAGCTGGGCCAACAGCAAGCCGGTGGCGCCCGCACCCAACGTGGCCGAGATCACGGACGAGTCGAGTTTGTTCAATGCCTGCGGCCACAGGTCCTGGTGCGTCATCTCCGTGCTGCCCACGCTGCTCGATTGCAATGCCCGGTGCCGCAACAAATTGCTCGGCACTTTGCGCGGACTGTGCGCCAAGTATCCGGCGCAGCAGGGCTGGGGCTGGGTCTGGACCGAGGGCGGCCAGCAGCCGGCCCTGGAGAAGGGTTTGCGCGTGGGCGGCTTTGGCTATCCGGCTCTGGTCGTGGTCAATTGCCGTCGAATGCGATATGCCGTCTTTAAGGGCTCGTTTTCGGAAGCTGCACTGGATGAATTTCTGGGCGATATTGTCAGGGGGCGTGGCAGAACTTCAACTGTTAACTGCGCCCAAAAGCCGCCCATTCGCAGCGTTATAGGCTGGGACGGGCAGGATGCCGTCGCCGAGCGTTCAATCACGGACGAGCTCTAAAGCTATTTTTATTATTTATTATTTGTCATGGTCAGTTAATGTTGAATTCGTGAAAGAACCGATTCAGTTAGATGTACTCCAAAAACTCAGCTTGAACTCTTTTTTGGCATAATTTGTCTAAATTATGAAATAAATTTCATGTTCCGCAGATTTAATACCCTTGTGGACATTTCCCTTTTGCAGATATGTGAGAATAGTGAAGATCGATGAAAATATCTTGGAAAACAAAAATTTGTAACCGATTCTTCGTATAATGCTATATAATATAGTAGTGCGATCCTGATAAGATTTATCATCATTATTGTCATAATATTAATCGATAAATCGATATCTGAATACAACTGCCAATAGCAGAAGCTTTAGGTTAATCTTGTTCTCTTGCGAATAAACTACGAAACTGAACAGACGTCTTTTGACCTACACCATCCTTTTTCTGTGTGTTGATTGGGATGCCTTCCCTCAACAATCTTGATAAGCAAAACAGTTTTCCATACACGAACCTACTTTTCTACCTATCGTTCCTGTAGCAATTATATGATATGGTGGTCGGATCCAAGCGGTTCCAACATATGTATTCTACTACAGTAAATCGGACCTATGAAAAGCTTAATGATGAAATCTGGAGACTAGATCCAATTGCAACAGACAGACGGACAGACGGAAGGACGGATAGACGGACTTGGCTATGTCAACTTGATGGCTGCTGATCTAGAATATATATAATTTATAGTGTCGGATATGTCTTCTTCTATGCATTACATGACAAAAGGGTATATAACAAAAATATTCATTGAGCAGCATTTAATTTTTAGGGTATTCCTTATGCCTAAGAGAGACTCTTGAGAGCAAAGCTTACGATTTATTCCTAAGAATTAATAATTGTTTCTAGATGTCGAATTTATCTTCCGGCGCATTGAAAACATGTTTATAAAATATGAGGGCAACATTTGCGGGGCCGTCGATTTAAGGCGTCGCCTACGAGTCCTTTGGGCAGTTCCTTTGAAAACAAACAAACAGACGCCCGTTGCTCGTTGACCATTGACCAATTGTCATGGTCACCTAATCCTGGCTGACAAAATGGCTCAGCCAAAGGGCCAGCGAGCAGACTTCGACAGGACAGGAGTTCTCGGCCAGGCAACAAAGCGCCCAGCTAAGCATGTGCCAACAACAAAGCAGCACACACATACAGACACCTATGCATACACACAAACACAAACACATATATATATATATGTGTATATATCTATCAAAAATATAGACCCAAGTGAAAGCGTGGCCCATGGCATAATATCTTTAAATGCAAACCGAGATGAGCACAAAATGACTGCCAGCTGTGCTACATTTGGAGGCGGCTCCTGGGACCTTAGCAGCAACTTAAAGGCTGCACATGCCACAAGCTTTGCCCGCCCCGCTTTTCCACACACCCCCCCCCTCCCCCTCTACCCCCTTTCCCACACAGCAGGCGATGCACAGAACGAGCTGCTTATTCATTTAATTTTCAGAGAAGCCGCCCAAGGAGTAAATGGGTTTTGCATGGCAAGGTAGTCCACGCAGAGGCGTTGCGCGCAAGGGTACTGAGGGAGGAGGGGGGGGGGGAGGGGTCAGAGTGGGGTTGCGCTGTGCATGGGCGTCAGCTCGACTGTCAGTCAGTCAGTTAGGAGGCCTTCACTCAGCTCAGCTCAGCTCGGCTCGGCTGAAACTTTTGGCTGCCACGCACAATTTTCCACTTTCAACTTTCGTCAAAGGGGGCGGCGCGGGGCGTTGTAGTTGTTGTTGCTGCTGCTGCTGCTGCTGCAGGGCGGTGGTTGGTGGTGCGGTTGGGTGTGCGTATTGAGCTTTATGCTTGGCTGATGTTGCGATAAGCGGCTGAAGCAGGCAATGTTGCTGTCGTCGTTGTCGTCGTCGATTGTTGTTGCTGTTGTTGTTGTTGCTGTTGTTGCCACAGCCGCAGCCGCAATGCTGCACACGCCACAAACACACACACACACACAAAAGTGGAGCTGGAGCAGCAAAGCAGCCCCTGGCGCTTGCCATAAGTAGGCGGGGAGTTGAAAAATAGGCAGCAAAAGCAGTTGCTGTCGTTTGTTGTTGCTGCTGTTGTTGTTGTTGTTGCTGCTGTTGTAGTTGGCGCCATTGCCCAATGTAAAAGTTGCTGAAAAGAGTAACGCAGTTTATGCCAGCAGACGGGGGGCAGGGGGGCAATGCTGCGCGGTGGCAGCTAGTGCTGGGCAAAAAAGGAAGCCTGGTGCCTGGCTCTGCTGCTGCCTACGTCGCCTACGCGGCATAGTTTTAACTTGGCTGTTGTAATACACTTTCTAGCACTGGCAGACTTAGCTATTGGACAAGTTTAAGCCCTAAAATAAGCAAGCTTGCAGAGTGCAAATACGAAGCAGCTGCCTTGTTTTCGCTTGGTTTTAAAGTAAGCTTATAGTTTTACTCGAATAGTTCGAGTATTTTTGTAGTTGCAGCTTTTTAAACTAAGAGAAAATGTTAACCTGACTCTTTCTATTAAATTATATATATTTCTGAATGGGTGGACTTATATTAAACTATATATTTGTAAGATTAGACCTATCTATCTGCAAGCATATTAAGCAAGCCTTGCGATGCAAGCTAAACATTTTTCAAATGTTTAAAAAGCTTTAGGCAAAAGTCACTGACTAAAATGAACATAATGATAAGCATAAGATATCAATAGACCCAACCACCTAAAAAATAAAAGCGGACTAAGCGGAAACACCTGTAAGCATTTAACCAAGTTAGTTGGCTCAGTGAAAAAGTGGGATACTGGCTGAAATCTTTTTAAATATATCTTCAAATTTCTAGAAAAACTTGTTTAACAATTCTGTTAATACATTTTAATTGGGTTTTCCAAAATATTTTTAATTTTTTTGAAAGGAAATGGAGTTTTATCAATAATAAAGTTTTGTCATTTATATATATATTTTTCCATTTTTTTTTTAAATTTATGTTTAATATTTTGTCACATTTAAGACTTCTTTTAGTAAGTAAGCTAAGGTAAAGCTTTTTAACAATTATGCTCTCATATATATAATAGATTGGATTTTTGTTTATTTTTCATATAAAAAACAAATTAGAGTATTTTTGCTTCGTTGCAGTTGAAAGGAATTTCTTTTGCATTTGTTGTTTTGCCCAAAATTTCACGCACTTTTTGTGCGTCTCTATGTGAATGTTATAGAGTGTACGTGTGTGTGTGGGTGGTTGTGTGTGTGTGTGTGTGTAAGTGGCGTGGTAAGTACATAGAGGCGCCGTTATGTGCGCAGATTGCCCCGCTGCCAGGCGGGAAATGGAAACGGACGCAGCAAGTAGGGGGGCGCCGGGCGGCATTTCGCATTTCGCCTTTCACTTTCGCAACGCCACCTAGCGACGAGCGCTGGCCGCAGGGGGGTTGGGGTGTGTGGGTTAGTTCGTAAGGGGAGCTGGCGGCGCGGGAGGCAAAAACTTTCGACATCAAAAAGAACTACTTTCGATAATCACAGGCCTGGCGCCAAAGGAATTACTTTGGCCGGCTGCGCGTTGCCGCTTTTTTACAGCTTTATTTTTTGTTTTTAGGGTTTTCGTTTTTATTCCAGTTTCGGATTTGGTTTAAAGTTTGGCGAGCATTTTTCCCTTTGCCTACATTTATGCGCATTTTTTATTTTATTTTTTATTTTTTTGGTGCCAACTTTCTCATTTTTATGCATTTTTTTATTGTCATTTTATGCGTTTATTGTTTTGTGGTTGCGCGCGATGAGGTCAGCGCACAGAGCGAAAAAAAAACAATTCGCACATTTTCTTGCAAATAAATAAAATGAAATTGCACATGTTTAAGCAATTATTAAACTTTTTTGTAGAGAACTTCAAAGCGCAGAATTCTAATCAATGACATCATGAGAATTAAGAGGAAAATGCAATCGGAAAAACAATGCTGAGGTGGTGGATTTTTGGGGTTGCACAACCGGTTTTCCATGAAAACCCTTTTCTTTTGGCGAAAGCTAAATCGTTGCAGTAACTAATTTAGGAGGGAAATGTTTTCATTAAAGGGGTGGCTTACCTTGATGCGCAGCCACGCAGCGGGTGGGGCGTAGATTGAGGATTATTAGCTGGGAAATCGGCATGCAGTTTCATCTAGGTGGAAACTGTAAAGGAATAGAAATGCAGAAAGGGGTTTGTTTTTAAGTTTGTATTGTTCTTAGCTGTTAGTCCGCTAAAGCAGAGATTAAGGGTACATGAAAATGAGAATATTATTATTGTATGTCATGCGATAACAATGGTTATCGAGTATAAAACTCTTAAAACTTTAAAATTGGAACCAGTCAATTCAAATTTTGCGGGCACCTAATTTTGCGTGTAAAAATAAACGCGCAGCCAACTTTAAGGGAGTCAAACTTTGCGCACAGCCAACATCACATGCCAGCGTACATACTTAACGTCAGCGTTACGCAGTTTGCGTTACGTTGCGCATATTGCGTTAACGTCACTTGCTTGTAATGCCAGAACAGACATTAATTCAAATGCAAAGTATTTTTTCAGGATTAAAGAAATAATTCCTTTTTACGAGCACAGTTAAATTTTACAAATATTCAAATATATATTTGTAATTTTATGCTTGTAAGCAAACAACTGTGAAGGTATATTTTTTTAAGAGTTAAAATGCTATCAATTTAAATTTTTGGTGTTTTCGCGTTTGCAGCTCGCGGTCACTCTGGTTTTCACAGCAACAGCAAAGTAGACGGACGACGTTGGTCTCGTCAACGAGATTTTCGATACAAAAACAAATAGAATTAACAAGAAGCCCCAATCCACAAGATGATGAAAGCCGCGTCCTGTGCCTATGTGCGCGCCAGCGCCCAGGCACTGTCCAGCAGCCTGCGGGCCAGTGGAGCCGCCGTTGGTAAGGAAAACAAGTGATCGCAGAAGCTGCAGTTATATAATGTGGCCCAGCGCCAGAGATTTGTGTGTGAAGGAGCACAAACATTTAATGAAACACGATTTTCGCAATGTTTCCAATAGTCAAATGGCCAAAGTTGCGAATTTCCTTACGTAATTTCAACATAACCTCGCCCCTTGTCAGTTGGCCAAGTAAAAACAGCTGATTGACGAATGAGTGTGTTGAGCAGAAACACAAAAATTTAACTGCGGCATCTGCTCTTTAGTGAAACCTACTCTAATCTATTTCTCTTGCAGCCACGCGCCAGGCACACACGGATCTGCGCGTACCCGATTTCTCCGCCTATCGTCGTGACTCAGTCAAGGATGAGCGTCGCCGCAACGAGAGCGCTGAGGAGCGCAAGGCTTTCTCCTATATGCTGGTCGGTGCTGGCGCCGTTGGCGGTGTCTATGCGGCCAAAGGCATGGTCAATGCCTTCCTTGGCTCCATGAGTGCCTCGGCCGATGTGCTGGCCATGGCCAAAATTGAAATTAAATTGGGCGACATCGCCGAAGGCAAGTCGGTGACGTTCAAGTGGCGCGGCAAGCCACTGTTCATTCGCCACCGCACCCCGGCCGAGATTGAAACGGAAAGGGCTGTGCCCACATCGGCGCTGCGTGATCCCGAAACGGACGATGTGCGTACATATCATTTAAGATATCCAAAGACTTTGTTAAACCCACATTTGCTTGTACCCCTTGCAGCAACGTGTCCTCAAGCCCCAATGGCTCGTGGTTATTGGCGTGTGCACGCACTTGGGCTGTGTGCCAATTGCAAATGCCGGTGATTTTGGTGGCTACTATTGCCCCTGCCATGGCTCCCATTATGACGCCTCTGGACGCATTCGTAAGGGACCGGCGCCATTGAACTTGGAAGTGCCCACCCATGAGTTCCCCGACGAGGGCACCCTTATCGTTGGTTAAGCCGTCAAGAGTTGTTTACGTTTAAGCAAAGCCCCCGCGACAGCATATAGAGAATGGATTGATGTAAATTAATAAACACCAAAAAAAAATCAAACTGTTCTCTTTGGGGTGCCGAAGATTAAATACCCTTAAGAACGCAGTGGATTTGGCTAAGATATGAGATAAGCAAGAGTTCGTGCAAAAGCCCTGTTTTTCCGATCGTTCGTAGTTTTGTGTATATATATATCCGTCCAGCTTCCCTATATGTATGTACTACCTGCAGCAAACCTCTGCCTACACAACGTTTTAACAATATAGTTTTAAGACTAAGAGATTGGAGTGCATATAAACAGATCGACTGAGTTCTTCGCACTTATTGAAATTATTCATACACTTTGTGATGCCGGTGTCTTATTAACTGTATAACACGTTTCTTGACGAACTTATAGTACTTTTAACAAGAACATATCAAAATTCAAGTGCTTCTTGGTAAACTTACCTGGGCAAGTTGCATGAAGGGGCTTTTCCAAAACTAGTCTAAGATTAATATATAAACACAACACAACACAATTACGAGAAATGTGGGCGATATTTAAAGCCCGTTCCAAACTTGAAGGGAGCTGCCACCCCGTCAACTAAATGCAAAACATTGAATTTATCGGTCGGCCTATCGTCGCCTTTTACTTTTGGCATTTCCAATATGAGATATCCCGTTTGTTTATCTTCTGAGATCAGCTGATTGAGTTGGGCTAAACAATTTTCGTTTGGTTTTTGCGAATCGAATTATCAGGTGTTCGGGCTTTGCAATTGCGCTAAAATGCAGCAACGCAAGTAATATTAATAAAATAACAAATTTATTGGTCTTTTTGCGTTTTGTACGATGGTAAGTAATATAAAACTTAATAACTAATGCTAACAGTAGTCAAGGCAAGCATTCATTAAGTGAGGAGCTAAATTTACATATAATTAATTAACTTGCTCAATAACTGAGTGCGTTAGAGGCTTTAATAAAATGTGTTCGGTATCACTTCATTTTGTAGGCTTTAAGAAAATTCCTATGAATGGATGACAAATTATCAGCGATGTTCTTCATCAGTTTAAGCTTTTCCTTTTGTATGGCCAGCTTTGCCTCTTCTATTTTCAAGATTCTTTCTGATTTGTTAAAGGTATAATTTGATTGCGGTGGTGCATACGTATTTGCCGAGTAGGCCGAGTCACTTTTGATAGAAACGGCCTTTTCAGGGCTCCTTGGTAGTTCAGTTTCGCTGTTGGCTGTTGCCGGTGGACTAAACGCGTTGAAATTCGAATCGGCTGAATCGCTGCTGTCTGAATCCTCCATGGGCGAATAGTCTGTAATTGATGCGAATTGAATTATAGCTGCATTTTTATATGGCTTTATGTGTTTTATTTATACCAAAACTGTCGGCCATGCACAGGCTCAAGTTAACCAATTTTGATTCCTTCAATATTTCCTGCACTTGACTAAAATATTCCCATTTTGATGGCTGCCCACTGTTGCGATATTTTGTCATTTCTATTCTGGAAAAAATAAGGTAGACAATGGGTTATGTCTTTCATTCATATTCGACACCTACATACCTGTATTTCTTAGTCATATTATCCAGTTTGGCCTTTACTTCTACGTGGGTTGGTCCATATTTCTGCATTTTTTCTGCCATTTCTCTGTGAATGTGCGTATTTACTCGCGCGCCGCGCAAACCGTCAATGTTTTCAAGCCACAGTTTCAAGAAGAGTCTCGTGGGCGCCGGGGCCCAGACAAAACGTTGGCCGCGAAAACTATATTCTGTAAAATATTAAAGGTAGTAAACTTTTTGTTTAATTTAAAATTCAATGTTTGTTTATATACCTTTTTTGTTTTCGATGCGACGCATGATGATGTGCAGTTATGGCTTTTCACAGTTCGATAGGCAAAAAACGATAAGACGCGTTTTGTTTTTAAAGCTGCTTTTGTCATATAAAGTCTGGCAACGCTTTCTTACGCAGCGGGAAAATAAAAATTAAGATGCAAATTGAAGATAATTCACATGTAACAATTTGACTGTGATCATTAAGCATAGATTCTCTAGTTATTTTTTTATCTTCATTATTCGCCATAGATATCATAAAAATCCCTCGAAAATTATTTATCGGTTTGCCGGCTAGACATAGATCAACCAGGGGTGAGAAAGACCATTCACCATACAATATATCACGCTTAGGAACTTGTGGCTCCGATAGTTGCGCACCATTTGAACCTATCGATATATTTGCCCATCCATCGATACCCATCTTCAATTTATTATCAAAAAACAGAATATTGCTTGTGTGGTGTTTTTTGTAGCATCACACTCCGGTTTGGATGCTTGCCCTTTAAATGGAAATAAAAATCGGGCTTTATCGTTGCGGCTGTTATCGTTGTTTCGCCGGCGCCACCGTAGGCCTTCGCCCATCCACGGAGTTTCAACTACGACGCATATTCTGGGGATTGTATAGATGCATTTCGTGAGCGTTAGCCGGACACAAACTTATGACTACTGTTTCAGGCCCTTAGTGTGAAGCGGCATGGTGTCCTGAATCAGGAATCACCTTGTCCATCAATCGGCACAATCTCTGAGCTGCGTTGCATAGCCCAAGTTGCATCATTCTGAACGGATAGAGTGGCCTGCCGGGTATGGTGAATGCTGTGTATTCGCGACCCTTGGGGTCCAGCTGCCAGAACGCATGCTTTAAATCTACGCTACTTATGTATATGGTATATGGTGTCATGAACTCTGCTTAGGATAGACACGATGTTCTGCAGCGGGTATTCATCTTTAATGATCCGATTATTCAACTTGCGGGCATCCAGACACAGTCAATTCTTTCCGGGCTTCCTGACGAGCGTCATTCGGCTGTTCCACGGACTCTCGCTCGGCTCGATGACTCCCAGTCGGAGCACTGGGTAGAATCGCTCTTTGACTGGCACTGCGTCATCCACTTGTTGAATCATAGGCATTTCCATGTTTGTGTGTCCCAATCCTTGAGATTCGTAGTCCAGGAAACTTTCTTTAGCCTCTTTCAGTCGATGTTGCTGTTTTGCATTCAGCTCATAGGCTACAATCGGTTCGCCTTTGGTCGTCAACTCTGCATGACGTACTGCAGCTTCTTGTCTCATAAAATTTCCGACGCTAAACCGAATTTTTATCAAAAGTCCACTCTTTTTTTTTAAATTATAATTTTTATAAATTTGTATTAATACAATTCAAAAATTCAATCAGATATTCTACCGTGGTTCTTTGCCCACTCTCCTATTGTTCCGGCTCTGGTTGTGATGATTTTCTCAATAGACCCATTCACCCAATTAATCATTTCTGGGGTATATTTGAATTTTAATCCTTTCCAATATTTAAACCATTCAAGTCCTTGACTTGTTTTCGGCTCTGTCGACTTGACATCATCCTGATTTGAGCCCTCGTCTGTGGTTTCCTTCCTCAGATTTATTACATGACTCGCATATGCGATGAGCACTGCGTTGCACCACAGGCTATTTAGATTGTACTTCTCGATCAAGTTCGCATTGAAAGACCTTTTTTGTCCTAGCAACGTGCCTGTCATATGTGTTAAAGTATACAGTTTCCTATTATGGGAAGCAGAGAATGCTGAATTGTTGACAAAGTTCATATCTGACTGGTAATGAAAAAATGAATCTTCGGCAACTGCCTCGACTAAATCCCTGTCTATCTTGGTCAAGCTATTTATCTCTTTGCCGATAGACTCTTGCCAAATCCATGTGAGTGCCTCGGAAACTGTCTCTGAGCCAGTCATAGATTTAAGATCTTCTAATGCATCAAGTGCTGCCAGATCCTTGTCTCGACAACTCAATGTTCCCCAACGAATAATGGCCATCTTATCGACACGGAATTTAAAGAAGAACATATCCAGAGCTGCCATCATTTTCCTGTAACCAGGATCCTGTGCCCAGCTGGTATATTTGGATGCTGCTTAATCGAATGAATACATCCCACTGCTAGAACTTTCTATAGATGCAGGCAATCCGACCAATTCTCCCAGTTTCTTGGACAAGCGTTTCCGATTTTCAAAATTTGAAGTACTTATTATTCGATATATTCCAGTAAATGCCAACACCAGTTTCTTACCCAATCCCCCAATCCTTGACAGTATCTTCCCTTCCTTGAATGTGGATGGCCAAAGAGCATTACTGACTGTTATATTAAGCATAGACCAGGGAGTCACTCGATTCTGACCATCCACACTCTCGGACAAACTAACTCCATAGGTCTTCCACTCGGAAGGTACATAAAGGGTGTAGTCTAAGAAATAATAATATAGATATGTCTTGACCCACTCCACATTAAGGTCGTCATTCAATAAATGATTACAAAATGATGGCTCAAGACTGGTCATCCTTGACTTCATAGTCTCCCCTTGGGCTAGGTTAATTCCAGATAAAATCGTCAGTTTGGGTTTCCTGTTCTCACTGCTTGCAAACCAGGTTGATGGGTATTCACCTACGGTACTTGTGGACATCTGACCGAAATTGACTTTTAAAACTCCATCATCCACAAGCAGGTACATATATTCTAAGATTGATGAGGACTGCATCCTGTTATTAAATTATAAATACAATATATGAAAATTGGAAAATATTAGTTACAGAAATGTTGCTCAAAAATGAATTATGTAAAACAGATTATATCTGTTCAGTATTAATGAGATGAATTGACTTCCGTAGAGTGGCACTTCGGGCTCGGCAGCACTATTAAATTTAATTAAATATATTTTTTTTCAAATATTTCAACTACCTTTTTGTATTCTCTTTTGTTCACTTTTATTTAATTTATATATCTCAAATTACCACAAATTGGCCTTTTTTATATAATTTTAGATATATTGTTGGCAAACGGCCGGCTAGCACTGACTTTAGGTTTTTTCTTTGTCTGAGTCCACGCACAACAAAAATCGAAATCCCCCTTATAAAAATGCACTGAGTCACACATAGGAGCTTTTGGCTCCGATAGTTGCGCATCCCTTGAACCCACCGATTGATTTGCCCATCCATCGATACGCATCTTCAATTTACCATCATAAAATAGCATAAATGTTAAAATTGGTATTAAAAAAATACTGTTGCGTACTCAGTGTACAATTTGTTCATCTCTAGGAGGCATATAAGTTATTGCAGCGATGTGGCAACTCTGTCAAAACAGCTGACACAGTTTTTAATTGCAATTTGCAAATTGTCTGCTGTTTGTTAATACGCACAAATTGCAAAGTAATGGCCGAGGAAATAGATGATAACGATTTCTATCGTGAAAACTTTAGCGCCGACTCCGACTGGGAGGTGTTCAACGCCCAGCTTGGCGAGCTGCTACAAAAATGGGAGGTGGCCGTGGACGTGGGCGTCCCACTGCAGCCAGAGGAGCTCTTCCATTGCAAGTGGCACGTAGAGTCGCAAACTCTGGACATGCTTCGCAATAGCATTGCCGTGGACTACTATGAAGCGCAGCCAACTAAAACGGCGACAGTTGTAGCGGGCGAGGAGGGCGGCACCTGCCTGCAGCGTACAAATTGCCATCAAGATTTGATGTGCAGTTGGAACAGCTTTGGGCCGCCCATACGCAACTCCAGCGAGCTGCACACGTTGGCGCGGATCTATGGACTGCGGCGCTTTGTGCTGCTGCATCCCGTGAATGCTGCCGGCAATTACATGAAGTCCACGTCAGAGTTTAATTTCTTTTTGAGTGCTGCGGCTGTGGTGGCTGCCGAAGTGTCCAGCGTGGTGCCCATCTTTGTGCAGCTGTACGACCCCAAGTGGAATTTCTACACGGGCGTCGCTCTCGCACCCGCTCTACGCACCAATTTCCGACTCATTGGTCTGGAGCAGGCGCCACCGGAATGCCGTTATTTGACGGGCCTAGTAACGCTCTTCCGCGACAAGCTGCCCTCCGCGTACACCCAGGAAGCCAGGGTCTCAGTCCGCACCACCTACACGCTGGATGCGGTGCGCATACGCATGCCTTTATATGTGCCGTTCGATCACGGTCTAAGCTCCGAGGATATAGCCATCGATGGCGACGTGGAGCAACTGGATGTTCAGCATTTCTATGCGCTACCGCATGGCTATGCGCCGGAGTCATCCACAGAGAGCTACCTGGTCTACACCTGGCCAGAGCTCTCGGAGAGCGTGGCCTTTGATAGCGAACAGCGCACGGATTTTCTGCCCTCCAAGGCACCCTTGGGCAAGATCTATTTATCTGTGGAGGCCTTTTCCTACCTAAGCTGCTGCTTGCAAGATTACCAGGCAGTGGGCAAGGTCGTGCGCTCGCTGGAATCGTATGTGGGTCGCAATTTCTCTGGCATCAGCAGCGGCGCCGAGCGCACAAATCCATTGGATAAGCTTACCGAACACAAGCTGACCGCGCGAAGGGAGCGCAACTATGAGCTGCCCTCGCAGGCGGGTCTTACCAAACGTTTGCCTGGACCCATGACAGAGAGCGAACTCACGGAGCTATTGGCCTATCTGTTTCCCGATATGCATCCCGAAATGGCGCTGTTTCACTATGCCAAGCAGAGCTTCAAAGAAAAGGTGAGTCGTTTTACATTTATGAACGTGTATACCCTTCGAATTGATTATATATTTGCTTGATCAGGCTGACGAACCCAAACGTTAATTTTCCTTCCGTCTTCTATGTCGGTTTTATCTCAGTCTTTGTGTGTTAAAAAGTTTTTTAGTTGAATACAGCGATGTTTTTGGAGTCTATTAGATAGAAGAACTATGTGATTCAGCTTTCGAAGGAACAATTGGTTAAAAATTGAAGTCTTGTGTTGCTTTGCTTTATTTTTTATATTGAAATACTAAAAAAAGTTATTTTTCGAGATACCTTATCCATACGCATCAATAATGAGCTTCATAATGTTGTGTAACATATCACCAACATTCTATATCATAAAGTTTTTATTGGAACTATTGTTCGGAAACGGCGATGCTGTATAAACACATTTAAAGGGGTCGGACTA